TAAATGTGTACCATCGATAAGTTGTCCCTTTTTTGTACGTTTCTCAACACTGCTCCACCTTTTCGCATGCTGCCGACTGCACGCTACACGCATTTCGAATAATTCCTGCGAGCACAATGAGCCAAGCTAAGGAATTGCTGCAGTTCCATGAACTGGAGCTAGACCAACGCATACTAAAGGTAACAAATTATTATATATAACTAATTTTTGCGCCTTATCTAACCCCAATTACCCTTTTCAATCAGGCTATTGCGCAGTTGGGTTGGGTGCAACCAACGTTGATTCAGTCGACGGCCATTCCACTGCTGCTAGAGGGCAAGGATGTGGTGGTGCGTGCTCGTACTGGCTCCGGCAAGACGGCCACCTATGCGCTTCCGCTCATCCAGAAGATTCTCAACTCCAAGCTGAATTCCAGCGAACAGTGTGTCAGCGCCTTGGTGCTCTGTCCCACCAAAGAGCTGTGCCGGCAATCTCGCCAGGTGATCGAACAACTGTCCGACTCATGTGGCAAGGTGGTACGTGTAACAGACATTGCAGGCAGCTCCAATGACGCGGCCACTCAACGCCATGCACTCGCCGAGCGTCCAGACATTGTGGTTTCAACGCCCGCAAAGATATTGGCCCATGCAGACATAGTCGACCTGAAGCACATCGAAACCTTGGTCGTGGATGAGGCAGATTTAATCTTTGCCTTCGGCTATGAGAAGGACTTTAAAAAGTTAATCAAACTTTTGCCGCCCATTTATCAAGCGGTGCTCGTTTCGGCCACCATTTCCGACGATGTCGCACGCATGAAGGGTCTCTGCCTGCACAATGCGGTCACATTGAAACTAGAGGAGCCCGATCTGGTGTCTCTCGATCAGCTCAGCCATCATCGCATCTTAGCCGAGGAGAACGAGAAGCCAGCCATATTGTATGCTCTGTTGAAGCTAATGCTCATCCAGGGCAAGAGCATCATCTTTGTGAACAATGTGGATCGCTGCTATAAGTAAGTGAAGCGGGCGATATCATCTGTAGCAACTGAATCTTGAGCCGATGATGAAATCAACTTCAGTTTGGGATTGCGCAATTGGCAACAATTGGCGCACGCATGACCATTGACTAATCTTCTCTCTGACGGCTCTCATTAGGCTATTGTAATTGAGACTCTGGTGAATGCTTATGCTATAACAACATTCTCTTCTTACCTCCCGATAGGGTACGTTTGTTCCTGGAACAGTTTGGCATACGCTCGTGCGTTCTCAATTCAGAGCTGCCCGCCAATATACGCATACATACCATAAATCAGTTTAATCGTGGTGTCTACGACATTATAATTGCCTCCGATGAGCATCTGCTGGAGAAGCCGGCGGGCAAAACGAAGAACAAAGGCGGTCAACAGAAAAACGATCATGAGTCGAGTGCATCGCGTGGCATCGACTTTCAGGGTGTCAATAATGTCATCAACTTTGACTTTCCACGCGACGTTACGTCCTACATACATCGGGCTGGTCGCACAGCGCGTGGCAACAACAAAGGCTCCGTTCTGTCCTTTGTCAGCATCAAGGAGGCGCCCATCAATCAGGCAGTGGAAGAGAAGCTACGCATATCTCTGGGCAAGCAGCCGCATCTGACAGTCGATGCACTATCGGATCAGCCACAGCAGCCAACAGATAATATCATCAAGTAAAATAACTACAGCACGACCTTCGCTCGCATATCATCGTATACTCACACTGAATACTCTTCCCTTTGTAGGCCCTATCAATTCAAGCTGGAGGAAGTGGAGGCGTTCCGTTATCGCGCCAATGATTGCTGGCGTGCTGCCACACGCGTTGCGGTCCACGATACACGCATTAAGGAGATCAAAACTGAGATACTAAACTGTGAGAAGCTCAAGGGTTTCTTCGAGGAGAACAAGCGCGATCTGATGGCGCTGCGCCATGACAAGCCTTCGCGCACCCTCAAAGTACAATCGCATCTCGCCCATGTGCCCGAATACATACTGCCTAGCGCGCTGAAACGCGTTGCTCTGAATCACAGCACAGCACAATCAGCACCAAAGCAGGCGCGCATAACTGGTGCCAAGGCGGCCTACCAGCGACAGAGCAACGATCCTCTGATGGTCAGCGAGGTGGACTATGGCAAGCGACGCAATGTGCCGAARAGAAAGAAAGCCTTTTAATATTGATTAGTCAGTTTTGTTTTTAGCCCTAGGAATACCTCTGTGTAGTGCTATGCGAGCTGTGAGGCATATAGAATAGAGAATTAGTTATACAATATATATATATATGTATATTTAACTAAATACARGTGCATTCAAGTACATTTTAAACTGTGTAGAAATGTTTACTGTTATTGTGGCTCAATTCGATTGTACAATGTTATCTCTCTCGATATGATATCTGGAACCATTCAATCATGTACTCTATTGTCTCTTGTGTTCACTGCTCTCTGTGATACCTAAGAAATACATAAAGTCGTCACATATGCGTAATGAATTTATTTAGCAATTTTCCCTAAACACTTCCCCAAAATACAGAAATGCAGAATAAAAATTCGCCAGATTGTCTCCCAGTCTATAAAAAAATACTATACAATACTTGAATCTAATCGGAGCTGTTATATAGTATAACAGAATAATTTATAGCATCTGTCTCTTTCTAATCAGCGATAAAAGTACATGCATTAAAGTGGAACAGATTTAGGGTGACCCAAAAAAAAAAAAAAAATAAATAAATAAAGCCTTGAGGGCAAATTAAGAAATTTTCAACTGGATCATTTCTATCTATCTATCTATATCTATGTTTGTTAGGCAACCCTCGCAATGTATCGCAAATAGCAAATCAAAACAGAAAATGATTTGGTTTTAACATTTTATTATTGTCATTGAAATAGTTAACATTCATACATTATTGACTTTGTGGATTTATTTATTAATTTCTCATTTCTTACATATGTTTATGCAATTCTGCTTTGTCGTATGCTATATTGAATGAAATACCTCATATATCATGTTCGAGTCATTGTATATAGTATAAATCGATGAATGTCTATTGAATATATAATAATTTAAAATGTGAACGTTTTCGAGAGATTAGGCGCAATAACATTCAGCTAAATAGTGATCGATAAACGATAGGCACACTGATAACAAAGCTAGTTATGTGCGTGTGTGTGTATGAAGCAGTGCCGGGCAGGAGGGAGGTATACATATAGTTCCTATATAGATACTATATATAAATTTTTATATTGTTGAATAAAAGTTACAAATAAATTAAGCATAATTATAGTATTTTCGTTTAGTTCGATTTCGATTAATTCCTGGTTGGCAAACATATATAATATAAAGGTGACATATATATTTATATATCTAAATTAAACTTAAGGAAACAAATATATAAGATCACACAATATCGAGGACAAATTGAATTAGAATTTAACGAGAAACTAGTCTAAAATGCAGCCACATATATGCATACACATATGTATATATATATATGCATGTATATATATTGTTTTGCTTTAAGATTTTACTTAAGTGATTTTCATTTCATATATGTATTTGTTTTGTAATACGCTCTAGATAAATTTTACATTCATAGTTTGGTTTACGGCTTTTTATTACATTTTCTTTTCTGTTTTAAATATATTTTATTTTAACACACGCATAACTTGATAAATGTTACAACAAGACATACAAATATTTTAATGACAATTTTCAAATATATATATGAACA